CAGAGTCTCTGTCACCCAGGCTGGAGTGCCTCCTGGGTTCAAGTGATTCTCCTGCCTGAGCTTCCTGAGTAGCTGGGATTACAGGTGCACACCACCACGCCCAGCTAATTTTTATATTTTTAGTAGAGATGGGGTTTTGCCATGTTGGTCAGGCTGGTCTTGAACTCCTGACCTCCTGACCCACCTGCCTCGGCCTCCCAAAGTGCTGGGATTACAGGCATGAGTCACTGCACTGTCCAAGATTTCTTTAACAAAACATAAAAAGCATTAGCTATGAAAGAAAAAAAGTTGATCCATTTGAAATTAAAAGAATAAAAAGGCAATCTACAGAGTAAAAGAGGATAATATTCTCAGTACATGTATTGGACAAAGGATTCATATCCAAGCTATTGAAATAATTTTCACAAGTGAATAAGAAAAAGGCAGACAATGTAAAAGAAAAATGGGCAAAAGTCTTGAGCAGAAACTTCAGAAAAGAAGATATTAGTAAACTGGATGCAGTGGCACACACCTGTAGTCCCAGCTACATGGGAGGCTGAGGTACGAGAATCACTTGAGCCCAGGAGTTCGAGTCCAGCCTAGGCAAAATAGTGAGACTCTTTCTCTTTATGAAACAAGAAGAAAGAAGAAGTAGAAGGAGGAAAAAAGAACGAAGAAGGAAGAAGAAGAGGAGGAGGACGAAGAAGAACAGGAGGAGAAAGAAATAGTTTAAGTGGTAAATAAATACACAAAAAGGTGCTCAACTTAATTAACCATTACGAAAATGCAAATTAAAACCACAATGAAATACCACTATACACCCCACCAGAATGGCTAAAATGAAAAAGAAATGGAAAATACCAGGCATTAGCAAAGACGTGGAGCACCTGGAACTATCGCACTGCTCTGTGGGAGTGTGAATTGGTAAAACCATTTTGGAAAACTGGCAGAAAACACTTAAGCTGGACATACGCATATCCTATGACTCAGCAGAAATGTATACATAAGTTCGTTAAAAGATGGGTAGAAGAATTTTCATAGCAGTACATGATAGCCAAAACCTGGAAACTGCTCAAATGTTCATCAGGACTGGAATGAATAAATTGTTGTATAATTGTATAACAGAACACTGTACAAGAATGAGAATGAACAAGCTGCACCTAGACATAACAATATCAATAGATCTTTTTAAAAAAATTTTTTTAGAGACAGGGTCTCATTATTTTGCCCAGGCTGTTCTCAAATGCCTGAACTCAAGCAATCCTCCTGCCTTGGCCTCCTGAGTAGCTGGGATTACCAGTGGCTGAGCACCACTGCTCCCAGCACTATGTACAGATTTTACAAACATAATACTGTGTGAAAGCCACCAGACACAAGAGTACATAAAGCGTGATTCCATTCATATGACCAAAAAGCAGATAAAAACTAAAACAAAAAAAGGTAAAGGCAAAACTGATTTATGATGGGTATTGAATAAAAATGGGAAGGAGGAGGGCTTCTAGAATACAGGCAATGTTCTGTTTCAGTTCTGTTTTCACTTTGTGGGAATTCACTAAACTAACCATGATTTGAGCACTGGGCCTGATCCATACTTTAATAAAAAGTCCAAACAAATTCTAATTAAAAGAGTTCATTATTCAAACTACTCATGTTAGAGCCAAGGTTTTTTTTGGTTTGTTGGTTTGGTGTTTGTTTGCTTGTTTGTTTGTTTTGAGATGTAGTTTCACTCTTGATAACCAGGTGAGAGTACATGGTGTCATCTCAGCTTGCTGCAACCTCCGCTTCCTGGGTTCAAGCAATTCTCCTGCCTCAGCCCCCCGAAGTAGCTCAGGCTACACGTTCCCACCACCATGCCTGGCTAATTTTTGTATTTTTAGTAGAGACAGGGTTTCACCATGTTGGCCAGTCTAGTGTTGAACTCCTGACCTCAAGTGGTCCACCCACTTCAGCCTCCCAAAGAGCTGGGATTACAGGTGTGAGCCACCACACCCAGCCAGAGCCAAGGTTTTAAAGATCCCCTGCATGGAGTTCAAATAAAACAAAACAAAACTGGCACACCAAATGGAAAAAGTTAAAACTGTATCCCAAGCTAACACCACCAATAAATTGGAGGGTCTATAGACTGAAGAACTACAATTGATGGTGAAAACTATAAAGCTAATAGAGGAAAGTGTAGAAGAATATCCTTGTGATCTCTACTGGCAGAGAAAGACAACTTAAATAAAACTTCAAAGGCACAAACCATAGTTGAAAAAGGAAATTTGTTTGCTTCAAAATTAAGAATTTCTATTTATTGAAGGACACCACAGACAAAGGGAATAGATGTATGCCTGAAATGGAAGAAAATGTTTTCAGTATCTAAAACAACAAGAAATGAGCCTGTCAAATATGTGAGAAACACCTGCAAAGCAATATGAAGAAAAACAGCATCCTCAATAGAAAACTGGGCAAGGAATATGGACAGACAGCTTAGAGAGAGAAACCCACCTGCAGAGGTGCTCAAACTTATTGGCAATCAGAAAGACACAAATTAAGACAAAAATGAGATCTCGAATTTTAATATTAGACTGCAAAACTTAGCCATATAATGCCAAGTGTTGGGGAGCTATGAGGCTATAAAGAGCCCTTTGGCATTGCAGGTAGGAGTGTAGACTAGTGCAGCCATTCTGAAGAAGAAGCTGGCATCTCTGATATTAATTAAGTAAACACGTAATGAATGAGCCAGCAATTCCCTTCCTGGATATATATCCCATGAAAATTCAGAGGTTCATGAGGTCCATGTAAAAAGATGCTCACTACAGTGTTTTTTAATTTGTGTATGTGTGTTTTGTTTTGTTTTGTTTTGTTTTTTCTGTGGTGGGTAGCAAACTGGGTATCCATCACTGAGGGGGTGATTAGACAAAATCTGGGGATTGCCCATCATGGAGTAATGAAGCATTTAGTAGCAATGGATTAGACATACAAATAGCTACATGAGTGAATCTTAAAGCTATGCTCAGTGAAAAACCTAAAACCCAGAATGAGCTATATAACAGAATATACATAAATTTAAAATATACCAGTGAGAATGGATAAACAAATTGTGGTATATTCATACAATAGAATACTACACAACAATTTTTTATCCTCAGATATTGATACATGCAATAACATGAATGATCTCAAAAGCATTCTATTCAACAAAAGCCAGATACAATGAAGTGTGTATTATATGACTCTATGTCTATAAAATTCCAGAGCAGGCAAAACTAATCTACAGTGGGAAAAGCAGATTAGTGTTGCTTAGAGCTGGGATGGAGAGAAGAGATTGATAGCAAAACAATACAAGGGAAATTTTGTATTCTTGGTGATGGATCCAAGATCCATCATGAATGAAAATGACCTATGTCTTGACTGGGGTGTGGTTAAACAGGTATGTATATTTCTCCGAAGTCATCAAACTGTACACTTAAAATGGGTACATGTTATAGTATATAAATTATACATCAATGATGTTGATTTTTAAAATAAAAAAACATATACACAAAGCAGTACACATTTTCTAAGAGATTTTGACATGGGAAAACTGCTAATAAGTGACACTGTCTAGTCACTCTATGCATTAATTAGTCAGCTTGAGCTGCTATAACAGAATACCACAGGCTGGGGCTTAAGGAACTTACATTTATTTCCTATAGTTCTGGAGGCTGGGAAGTCCAAGATCAAAGTGCCAGCCAATTCAGTTCCCTGGTGAGGGCTCTATTCCTGGTTTGCAGACAGCCGTCTTCTTGCTGTGTTCTCACATGGCAGAGAGACAGTGTACTCTGGTCTTCCTCTTCTCATAAAAACATTAATCTCATCATGGGGGGGTCCCATCCTCAAGATGGGACCTAATCATCTCCCAAAGACCCCACCTCCTGATACCATCTCAATGGAGATTGAGGCTTCACTATGTAAGATTTGAAGGGACAGAAGCATTTAGTCCATAATATTCCAGAACACAGCTAGTAAAGGAAAACTTTAACTTCCCATCTGGCTAGCCACAAAGCCTATGTTCATTTAACTCCTGCCCTCCCCAACTCCCCTGCCCTGCCATCAGTTTCTGGCTCCAGTCTGGTGGATTTGAGGATTGTGATGCCTCAGGAGGATCAGAAACCTGCTCTCCATCCCCATGAAGTTTCCAGATGAGTGTAGGCATTGCCTGGAGACAAGGGTAGAATAATAGGGCTGGTTTTGCAGAGGTTGAGTGGAACCCACACCTTCCCTGAGTTCCCACCAGCAGGATCTCCTGCCTTTGACACAAAAAGCTGCTCCTTTAATTGTTGTGCTGCCTGGGGCTGTGACATCACTAATGGGACCTAGCCTTGGCTCATTCTGCATGTCCAGAGTTCAAATTTATCAAGATGTTCTGTCAGGTCAACCTGCAGGAGTTGCTGAACACACATGCATAGCTCCTAAGCATCAAAGCCCTCTCCAGACTGTTTACCCCCCCGGGATGTTTCCATTTCTGAACAAGGCCAAAGTCTTCTGACTCCAAGCCCAGCATCTTTTACTTTACCCAACAACTACCTCTCTGTATCGAGGAACACAATTTCCAGGATACAGACACTAAACAGCAGAAATGGCACAAGCCTTGAAGGTAGAGGTGAGATAAAATCTCAGCCGGCTAGCCTTTGGCAAGTTTCTTAATCTCTCTGAGGGTAAAGAGAAAAATGAGATCATCAATTAATGGAGAAAAAAATGAAGACTATGAGCAAACGAATCCCATTCAGGGAACCTGTTTAGAAGAAGAGAGCAAGACTGCATTGTCATTATGGAAGCTTACACCTAATCAGCTATTTGGGTGTCTGTATTAGGGTTCTCCAGATAAATAGAACCAAAAGGATGTACACACACACACACACACACGTGTGTGTGTGTGTATACTTGTATAAATGCATATATATATACACATACACATATATATACACACGCATGCACACACACACACATATATGTACACATATACACACATACATAGAGCAAGAGAGAGAGAGATTTATTAGAAGGAATTGGATCATATGGTTATGGAGGCCAGCAAGTCCAAAATCTGCAGTGTGGGCTGGTAGGTGGAGACCCAGGAGAGCTGAAGCTGCAGATGAAGTCTGAAGGCAGGGTATTCTGGAGAATTCCTCTTGCTCAAGGAGGCTGGTCTTTTTGCTCCTTTCTGGCCTTCAACTGATTGGACGAAGCCCACCCACATCATGGATCTGTTCATCAATTTCAATGATAATCTGTTTATCAATTTCAATGGTAATTTTATCCCCAAACACCCTTCATGTTAACACGTAAAATTAACCATCACAGCATCTGCATAAGAAAGAATGTGCTTGCAGAAGGGTCTGCTTAAGAAGAATGTGCATGCCATTTATAAAAGGGGAGCTCAAAGAGACCATGTGTGGCTTGGCCAGCACTGCTCAGGGAAGCCAACCTCCTGACCACTAAAACACTTAGGCTTGTCCAGGGAGGCAGATGGAAATAGATACCTCAGGCATTGAACCTAAAACTGTCTCATTCTACTGCCTTGACTAATCTCACACTCACTGAGCTGACTTCTGCACTGTTTGGCTTTCCTTCTAGCTTTGCCTAGAAATAGAGTTGCCAGATTTAGCAACTAAAATACAGCACTTACCTAAAAAAAAAAAAAAAAAAAAAAAAAAAAAGGAGGCTTCATTGTTTATCTGAAATGCAAATTGAACTGGACAGCCTGTATTTTAACTGGCAACTCAGCCTACAGGGAAGGTTTGCTGACAACTGACTGGCAGAACTTGGTCCTCCTGATGTTTTCAGAAAAGTACTCAACACTAACTGGCTCACCCTTATAAGTACATTCCACACATATTGCAGTCATCTCTTTATTGTTTGTCTTCCAGCCTGTGAGCCACTTGAGAGCAAATACCGTGTCTTGTCGGTCACTGAATCACAGTGTCACCTGGTATAAACAGTACTTGTTACAATCTCTGCAGTTCTTTTTTTTTTTTTTTTTTTTTTTTGAGACAGAGTCTCGCTCTGTTGCCCAGGCTGGAACGCAGTGGTGTGATCTCAGCTCACTGCAACCTCCGCCTCCCAAATTCAAGCGATTCTCTTGCCTCACCCTTCCGAGTAGCTGGGATTACTGGCATGCACCACCACGCCCAACTAATTTTTGTATTTTTAGTAGAGATAGGGTTTTGCCATGTTGGCCAGGCTGGTCTCAAACTCCTGACCTCAGGTGATCCACCCACCTCGACCTTTCAAAGTGCTGGGATTACAGGTGTGAGCCAACTTGCCCGGTCTCTGCACTTGATTTTTGAAGTAATTCCACCTGAACAATGTGATATTATGTCTGTGTCAGTTAAAACTCCAATTCCAGGGGCAGTCAGTCATTTGCCTTCACCAAAAATCCCCTCTCCAGCTAATCAGCTGGCTTTGTATCAGAAAGACCACATCCAAATGCAAGATCACAAAGGCTCCATCAATACCTGAGGCTTTGCTAATTAGCAAAGTGAAAGTCAAAAACGGATATTCATTGATGAAATTGGTGGCTTGTTAATTAGCATGATGAATGTTAGAAATAGACTCTTGTTCGTGAAATTAGAGGTATTCAGGATCTATGAGTTTACTCGAATATACTGGAAATACTACTCTCCACCTTTAGATAAAGAGATTATCAGAATCTAGCAAGGTCTGTGCCCTGCACCTTAGAGATGGCACCTGAGGCTTGATTTGACCTTTAGTTTTAGAGGATTTCTGGTTCCCTGATGCTTCTGGAATGTTGCATCCACCTTGAGTGACCTTTCATGCAACGGTAGGCTGATAGCTGGGACTTCCTCAAGCCTAGAGAAAAGGTTGCATCAATTGTGTTTGTGGCAGATTGCTAACAAATGCTTGCTTAATAAATGTGGTAGAGTTTGGTCAGATATTTGCTTTTGTGTGAGCTGGTGGTGAGGTTTCTGGAGGCAGTGAGCTAATCTTCACTCTCTTTGGAGATATATGAGTTATTAAGAGATTTTTTTCTTTTTCTTTTTCTTTCTTTCTTTCTTTTTTTTTTTTTTTTTGATGCAGTTTCACTGTCTCCCAGGCTGGAGTGCTGTGATGTGATCTCATCACTGCAACCTCTGCCTCCTGGGTTCAGGTGATTCCCGTGCCTCAGCCTCTCCAGTAGGTGGGATTTCAGGCCCACACCACCATGACCGGCTAATTTTTGTATTATTAATAGAGATGGGGTTTTACCATGTTGGCCAGGCTGGTTTCGAACTCCTGACCTCAAGTGATCCACCCACCTTGGCCTCCCAAATGGCTGGGATTATAGGCATGAGCCACTGCGCCCCATCAATTATTAAGAGATTATCTCTTAGCTCCAAACCCACCTACCTTTATGATGCTAGGGCTGGGATTTTGCAAACCACATTTCTGCTTTGCCAGCTGCTCCCTCTTGGGCTCTGCCTGTAGGAGGTGCTAGAGAGAGAGAGAGAGAGAGACTTAAGGCTAGAGAAGGAAGAGGGGAGTTTTTTTTTTTTTTTTTTTTTTTTTTCCTTTGGGCTTCTCTGGCTTCCCAGTGGCTTCTTCCCTTAGCTTCCTGATTCTGTGAGTGGCATCCCTCACACCATGCTTCTTCACTGTGGCAGCAGCAGTTCCTTCCTGTAGCAGCAGCTGAATCCAGCTTGCAATGCCCACAGAACCAGCCTCATCATCTCCCACCCCAGAGATGCTAGCTGGCCAGCTCATCCTCCTTAGAGGTCTGGATCCCACCTCTGTAGGGCCCCTCCTCTGAGCTCAGAAACACCAGCAGTAGCCAGCAAGTGCTTCTTCTGCAGGCTTCTGAGTTTCAGCCCCATGTGATCACTCCTCCAAGCTTCTAGGTTTTAATAATTCCAACTTTCCCCCCTTTATCTCCCAGATGTGGCAGATGCTTCCAGAAATTGCTACCTTCATGATACAATAATAGAGTTCTCTGTTTTGCTTTTTGAGTTCTTTAATCACTAGTCAATAATTCCTTATACTTAGTTTGCTAAGCATTCTCTGTATTAAATTCTGTTAAAACAACTGTTGTGGTTTTTGTCTTCTGCCTCATACAGGAGGCTATATTACCTTCTAGAAAGAACTTTAGGGTTATGCCTGACTAACTTGGCTTAGGTCAGCACTCAACAAATATTTATGGGACAAATAAATGAATAGATGACTGAATTTCTTGCTGTAAATTAATAACGACTTCCTGAGTTTTTAATACCAAGCTTGTGATTTTAATTAACATGAGTCAGTCCCCAGAGCGTTCTTGTTTCTTTTTTTTTTTTTTCTTTTTGTGGAGGCGGTCCCACTATGTTGCCCAGGCTAGGTTCAAGCCAGCCTCCAACTTCTGCCTCCCTAAGTGTTGGGATTACAGGTGTGAGCCAACCAGGGCCACAGCAGGGATAAACGCACCCTCTAGAGTCCTCCTCCAGCTGTTTTCAGGGTTAAATCAGCTCTATCCTGGAGACTGCTCGCCTAACCTAAAAGTCCACTTCCCTCTGAATCAGACATCTTACACAACAAACCACCTGGACTTTCCTGGGGGAGGTGAGGCACCTTTGTTTCTTAACCCTCTACTCTATCCATACACAAAAAGTTAACAGCTACAAATATTTAACATCCCCAGAAGGCATCACTCATTCAAAGAAAGGGAGAGGCTAGCAGATAATGGAGAAACTGTAGAACAGCCCCAGGCTCAAAACCATTACTCCAGAGCCAAGTAAGGCCCCAGTCCCCCATCTCTGCCTTGTTCCCAGAGAGCCCTGTTTCAGTCTTGGTCCCGTGCATTCTTGGACAAAACATTCCATCTTCTACCCATTTGGCAACAGTTATTTGGGCATGAATACCAGGCCTTCTACTGACTGCTGGGGCTACAGAGTTATACCATCTCTGCTCCTATGGAGCTCACAGCAAAAACAAAGAGAGAAAGGGTGCATTGATCACACACTGAAAGGAGCCAGAGGTCAGCGTAATTTCTTGTTGTCTGTGTTGCACCTGGATTCCCCTGGCTACTTCTGTACTGTTTTTGACTATCCCCTGGCTTCAGAGTGCTTTTGTTTCCAAAACCTGTAACTTATCTGGAGGCCTGCCCATGGCTACTGGAGCAACTTTATTGAGGAGAGCTGAAAAATTTCTGGAAATTGACTTGAAAATGTCTGGAAATTTACTCTTCCCCAGGACAGAGCAGTCCTTAGCCAATGGCTGGTAGATGGAGGGATATGAAAGCCCAGCTCCCTTGCCTATGCGTGGGACCCCTCTGAGCTATAACTCAAACTCCAGAGCCCCCTCACCCCCAAGTCAGGCTGAGGCTACCCCCTGCGAGACTGAGATGGAATGCTTGTTTGGATGCTTCCCCACCCTAGGCCACTGATTCATCTGTCTCAGGTTTGGAGCACTGGGGCAGAAGATTACCAGCTGACTTCCACAGGGACCTTCCTCTGTGTCAACTGAGGGAGGAATTGTCAAATTCCAGATAGGAATCCCCCCACTCCCTCTGGCTGGTGTATTTAGACACCAACTTCCAGGCAGCTCTGAGAGCAAAAGGAGAGATTGCTGGTGTGCCCACAGCTCAAAGTCATGACAGATTCCCCTCCTCCCATTCAGTGCCCACCATTATCCACAAGCACTGGGAGGCCTCCACTAGCAACTCCCCCAAGCCCTCAGTCCTGGACCTCTCTGCCTTCCCCTACAACTGTTTCACCCCCAAAGATGACTCTAGAGCAAATCACATATTAATTCAGCTGAAGGGACAAGGAGCCATTACAGATCCCAGGAAAATTCAACAGACAGATTTCAGTGTGTGAATCCAAAGGAATTAGACAGGTGATTTACCTCCCACCTGCTAAGCAAATACCGCAGATAGTTTCTGTAGCAGACAGTATTGTTGTTGGTCCATATCTCCAAGGCCCACCCAGAGGGAAAAAAGTTATCTGCGGGCATTCCTGTACTTGCCAGGAATCCAGTTTCCACTTAGAAGCTGGGGACCTTGGGAAAATCCCTATATTCCTCTAAATTTCAGTCTCCATAGCTGAAAAACGGGAATAAGAACACCTACCTTGCAGGACTATTGTTCAGGAGTAAATCTGATGTAATATGGAGAAATACTTAGACTATGAAGCCTTAGTCAGATATTATTACATGGCAGAGAGGAGTGGACAGCAGGATAAACAATGGAGCGGAGTCAGAAAAGCACAAAGTCTGTGGAGGTGACAGTGAATTACAGAATCAGGATAACTAAAGCATGGGATCTATGTGTGATGATTAATTTTACATGTCAGCTTTATCAGAATAAGGGGATATTCAGATAGCTAATAAGATATTATTTCTGGGTGTGTCTGTGAGTTTCTGGAAGAGATTAGCATTTGAATCAGCAGGCTGAGTAAAAATCACCCTCACCAATGTGGGTGGGTGATAGAGTTTGGATGAGTGTTCCCGTTCAAATCTCATATTGAAGTGTAATCTACAATGTTGGAGGTGGGGCCTAGTGGGAGGTAATTGGATCATGAGGAAGGATTTCTCATGAATGGTTTAGCACCATCCCCTTGGTACTGTCCTTCTGACAGTGAGTGAGTTCTCATAAAATCTGGTCACTCAAAAGTGTGTGGCACTCCTCTCCCCTCTCTTGCTCCTGCTCCAGCCATGTGACATGCCTGCTCCCTTTTTGCCTTCCAGCATGATTGGAACTTTCCTGAGGCCTCCCCAGAAGCCAAGCAGATGGCAGCATCATGCTTCCTGAACAGCCTGCAGAACCGTGAGCCAATTAAACCTCTTTTCCTTATAAATTACCCAGTCTCAGGTATTTCTTTATAGCAATACAAGAACACTCAAATCCAATCCATTGAGAGTCTGAATAGAATAAAAAGGAGGAGGAAGAGCAAATTACCTCTCTCTGTCCTTGAGCTGGGACATCCCTCTTCTCCTGCCCCTTGAACATCAGCACTCCTGGCTCCTGGGTCATTGGACTCAGACCAGGACTTATAACATCAGTGTTTCTGGGTCTCCAGCTTGTGGATGGCAGATCGTGGAACTTCTCAGCTTCCATAATTGTGTGAGCCAATTCCCATGATAAATAAATCTCCCTAAATGTATTTCCTATTGGTTCTGCTTCTCTGGAAAATCTCGATTAATACACCATGGAAGATGTTGCAAGTTAGACTCTCCAGAAGCAGATGATGGGATGACTTTTGAGGTGCAGGATGTTTATTAGAGATCAAGTTCTGGAAGAAAAAAAGAAATGGGAGAAGGCAAGACAGGGCTGACTGAGAAGCTGAACTGTAACGCAGACCCACATAGCTTCAGCCAATCCAATGTAGAGCTCTGGAGCAGGGATCATCGGCAGAAATGCCCAGACTATTAAACCCTTTTATGCTTTCTGCTAAAGTAGTCACCAGGTGTGGGCTGCCCACGGGAGGCTGTGGTCTGGAGTGAGCTGGCTCTCTGCAGCTGAGGCAGATCAGAAGAACTGACAGCTGGAAGCTGTTTGCTTTCTGCACACCCCATGAATAGACAACAAGAACTTTCTTGGAGTCTCGTTCTGTTGCCCAGGCTGGAGTGCAGTGGCATGGACTAGGCTCACTGCAACCTCTGCCTCTCGGGTTCAAGCAATTCTCCTGCCTCAGCCTCCCGAGTAGCTGGGATTACAGGCATGCACCACCATGTCTGGTTAATTTTTGTATTTTCTTTTTAGTAGAGATGGGTTTTCACCATGTTGACCAGGCTGCTCTCAAACCCCTGACCTCAAGTGATCCACCTGCCTCAGCCTCCCGAAGTGAACAAGAACTTTACTGAAGGCAGATTTGGTGACACAACTCTGTGTCTACCACAAGAGGGATAAGGGATAATACCAGAAAAATTGTCATCCTAACCATTAATTAATTCAGTTATCACTCAGAAAGACAGACACAGTCAGCCAGACAACAAACTATCATCAAGGACTTACTATGTACCAGGATTAAACTCAGTGCTATGGAAAGATGCAAAGACAGTAAGACAGGTACCTCCATGGTTTGGATTTCCCCAGAACAGATCCTGTGATAAGAGGATGAGTGCTGGCTTGTGGCTTATTTGGGAGATATGAGAAACACCAGAAGAGAAGTAGGGAAGTGAGACAAGGAAGGAAGTCAGACAATAAATGGCGGGCTTTGCTGGCTACCACTGTGGGCAGCTGGAGCTCATTTCTACAGGTGAACTCTGTGTAATGGCTAAGAGCACATGCCTCAACATTATCTACTCAAGGGCAAGGGAGCTGAGGTAGATAAACACCAAATCCTCAGTCATTGGTTGAGAGCTGCTCTCAGAAGGCAGCTGGTACTTTCATCCTGCCCTGTGCTGCTGGGCACAGAAATAGTGCGTGCTGAAAGGATCTGGGGCACTGGCAGTGGCTGGTGCACTCACATTAAGCACTTTTACAGCCTTCGGGGGGAGACTGATCATCAGAAAAAAAGCCTGGCAAATGCAATGATGAGAGGCATGCTTGAAACACAGGGCCCTCAGGTGGCTGAACACCTGAGCTGAGTCTTTTCTTCTTTTCTTTTCTTTCTTTCTTTTTGTTTTTTTTTTTGAGACAGAGTCTCTCTGTTGCCCAGGCTAGAGTGCAGTGGTGCAGTCCTGGCTCACTGCAACCTCCATCTCCCTGGTTCAGGTGATTCTCCTGCCTCGTCCTCCCGAGTAGCTAGGATTACAGGCACCCGCCACCATGTCAGCTAATTTTTGTACTTTTAGCAGAGATGGGGTTTCACCATGTTGGCCAGGCTGGTCTGAAATTCCTGACCTCAGGCGATCTGCCCATCTCGGCCTCCCAAAGTGCTGGGTTTACAGACTTGAGCCACCACACCTGGTCATGATCTGCATCTTAAAAGGCAAGAAAAAATTGTCTTAGAAGAAGGGGTTTCAAGTCATCCAGAGTGACTGGACATGTCATCCAGCAAGTGAAAGAGGAGGAATGGAAGGATAAGGGAAGGAAAGAAGGTGGTGCTAGATCACACAGAGCCCGAGTGTGGCTTGCTTCTTCCTATGGAAGGATTGGGGAGACTTGCTGGGATTGTAAGCACAGGTAGGTCATGAATCTTATATACTCTCTAGATAAATTACTTTAGGTACAGAATAAAAAATGGATTCAAGATAAAAACATGAGGACAGGGAGCCCCAGAGAGAAACTGTGAAGGCTGAACACAGGAAAGTGGCCATGGAGAGACAGAGAAGGTGACAGAATCAAGAGAGATGAAGAATACACAAGGCCTAATGCTAACAAAAGAGGAGTCCTAGGAAGGCATCTATGCTAGTCTTTGTTTCCCATGCAGTGTTCTAATCAAACTTCTCAACTTTCTACCACACCTGGAGGGACTATTTATCTGGGTCCAGGATATAGGAAGGAGATTTTCGTAAGTTCTATTACAGCAAGATCACAGCCAGAAACTGGCTGTGGGTAATTAAGGTGCAAGTACCAGTCTTGTGTTATTAACCTGAGAACATTCCATGCCCAAAGTCAAAAGGCCTAATGTCTTGATTTAAATTCATTTTCGATGAGAAAATTCACCAAAACTTATTTTTCAAGGTACTCAAAATGTTAGAAACTGCTAGTCGGTTAGAGATAGTCTTTTCAGTTGGTGGCTCACCATATCATTTTTAGCTCCTTTTTTTCTCCACTGACCTTTTAATCCTCATGGCCTGCCTACACTACAGTGTTTGGGTTGCTGTTGCTCTTTTTTCCTAACAGACCCCAAAGCAATTCATATCTCATTTGGGTAGGGTAGGAAGTAAAGATGGTCATGGTATTCTTGTCTTTCCAGTCTGATATATTGGTAAGGTAAAAGTCAAAAGTAAAAACTACCCTGAAAGTTGCATATACCCATTCTTACTTGCATCTCACTGATCGGAACTTAGTCACATGGCTATATCTAGTGGCAAGGAAAGTTGAGAAATGTAATTTTTATTTTAGGTGGCCATTTAACCAGCTAGAAAGCTTAGCCTTCCTTTTAAAGAGGAAAAGGGGGAGAAGGGATATTGTGGAGCAGCTGCAAGTCTCTGCTGTTAGCTATTGCTTCCTAATCACCCCAAAACTTAGTAGCCTAAAACAACTACCTTTTTACATCCCACAGTTCTATGGTTCAGGATTTGGGGCTGCAGTACCTTGACTGGAGCTGGAAAACGCAAAATTGACACACTCACATGTCTGATGGCTCATTTGGGGTGGTTTGCATGGCTGGGGCTCATTGAGATGGTTGGCCCTCTCTCTTTTCATGGGGTTGGCTAGGTTCACTAATGTAACTGGGAATTTGGCTCTCCTCCTAAGTGGCTTCTGTCTCCAGAAGGTTAATCTGAGCTTCTTCACATGGTGGCTGGAAATCCCCACCACCATGGCAAAAGGGGAAGCTACCAGAACTCCTAAGCCCTGGACTTAAATGTCTCACATCCTCACCCAGACACAAACACATATGTCACTTCAGCCATATTCTGTTGATCAGAACAGCAGATTCAAAGGCTGGAGATGTAACTCCACCTCATGATGGAAAGAGCTGCAAAGAAACATTGCAAAGGATGTGAACACTGGGAGACGTGGTTCATTGGGGGCTGTTTTTAAGAACCTACCACACTGTAATTGGGGGTAACATGTTATGTTTGATCTGTCATTTTACACTACTTACCACTGTTTATAAACCATTCCCACAGAGACTGAGCTTTTCCTCTTGAATTCTATAGTAAATACTGGTGCCTTGATTTGGTTATATGTGCATAGCATGAGGATCTGCAAGAAATCAGGAACTGGAATAATCAAATGGAAATGCAAGAAATGAAAAACACTGCTGTTCCTTGGATGGGCTCATCAAGAGACTGATACAGCTGAGGAAAGAATCAGCAAATTTGAAGATAAGTCGGTGGAAATTATTCAAACTGAAACACAAAAAGAAAAAAGTAATAGGAGAAAAGACGTAACAGAACATCAAAGATCTGTGGAAAATTATTGAACAGTCTAAAGTACACGTAACTGAAATCCCAGAAGGAGAAGAGCAAACAAGACAGGAGAAATATTTGAGGGAATAATGGCTGAAAGTTTTCCAAAAATAAATGGCAGGCACCAAATTATATATCCATGAAGCTCAGAAAAGACCAAGCAAGGTAAAACAAAAACCAAAAGCAAAACCCAACAAATAAACAAAAATCTAGGTATGTATATCATTTAAACTACTGAAAACCAACAAAAAGAACAATTATAAAGGCACTCAGAGAAAAAAAGGCATATTGCATAAGTAGAACAAAGATAAGAACCATGGCATACTTCTCATCAGAAACCATACAAGTCAGAAGACAATAAAATAACATCTTCAAAATGTTAAACAACAACAAAAGGATACATCAACCTCAAATTCTACATCCATCAAAAATATATTTTAAAAGTAAAAGAGAAATACTTCCTCAAACAAAAACAGAGAATTTATTGCTGGCAGAACTGCTGTATAAGAAATGTTATAGGTAGGAGGAATATGATATGATACAGATACTTGGATCTACACAAATAAACAAAAAGGGCTGGAAATGAAACAAATAAAGGTAAATAAAAATTAATTTTAAAATGTTTAAATTGCTCTAAAAGATGACTGTCTAAAGCCAGCACAGCAGCAATGCATTGTGTTTTTATAGAATATGTAAAGGTAGTGTGGGATGGGGGAAAGAATTGGAAGTACACTCTTTTTTATACTATATATGAAATAGTATATTATTTGAAGGTAGATATTGATTAATTAAATATGTATATTGTAAACCCTAAAGCAACCATTTAAAAAGTTTTTAAAGCATTACATGGCTTAACATACTGTCCTGGATTGTCTGTCAAAAACTTAGCACCATTTTTTTCTTCTACGGTCTTCTATCACAGTATCTGGAAGCTTGAAACTACATTTTCCAGCATTCCTTGCCAAATGGGTTACCAGTTAGATTCTATCAATGAGAAGTATCGTTGAGTCTCATTATTCACACTAGTTATGATCTATTCAATTCTCAAACCACTGAATTAACAAATGCTGAACAATTGCTCCTAGGGGAGATATGCAGTTAGGTTCCTGCAAGCCTCTGGTCGAATATTTTTGTGAACCAGTCCATATGTAACCTTGTCTTTTGTGTGTTTCTATTTAAAGACATCTTATTAAATATATATAGTTGGTACATTTACATTGAACTCATAGCCAACAGCCCTATAACTCATCTTGAACAAAGCTTTCTC